TGGTCTTGGGTCGGTCTATTTGGGCTGTGTACATTTCAATGGTGTTGTTCAACAGGTAGTTCGTCTCATCACAAGTCAAACAGTTGGATGCAATAATACGGGACTCTGGGAGAAAATGCAAACATTAAACACATCACTGTGGGGGAACATCAATGAAGTGTAATGAGACCCTTGGACTCCAAAGACAGTCTACAACTTTGAATCTCTGCATAGACATTATTCTTTTATCACTGATCTAGGTGCTTTACCAATAATCGTTAAGCCCTTCTGACTGACTCACTAATCACAACTCTTTCGATGACCTTGGCGAGGATGCCCAGTCAGAGTGTTGGAAATACTGGGATGTGCTTATACAATCAAATCATATTTGAAAATACAGACAAGGCTTCTGATAACCATGAATATAATGTAATAATGTATACCGATATCTCTGAGGCTCAAGAACAAACCAGTCATGCCCCCATTCCCCTGGTTCTTGGAGCAGACGATTCTCTAAACCTCACACATGTAAATCTGTCAATCACCACTATATGGAGGCTTTTTAAAGGTGTGGTTTAATGAAAGTAAAAACTCAAGAAGCTAGGACGGAGCTTCTTGAGTCTTAATATGACTCTGCATGACCACCGAACAAGGCCGAAGGACTCCGGGAAGATATCGATTGGGAGAACCGTATCTGGTCCTTTGATTGCTGAACATAGAAATTTTGATATTAAACATGGGGGGAAGTGGTTGTGATATATATGGCGGATCGGACAATGTATGTTGCCAATCTCAGGAAAGCTCTAGCTGTCGTCTCGTGATGCGCATGTTCTATCAATGAACCATGATCTTTTTAATTGTTCAGAGACATCCTGTATTCGAGATGCGGAAGACTAGGGGTCAATGGACGGAGGGTCTTGTCAACAGCAAAGTTGACACTGCACCGTCATTTGGCTACCATCCTGTTCTTCCTGCTGTCAATTTGCGACCAGAGGTTAGGGAGTGGCAACTCTCGAAAGAGGATGAATTTTTCATCAAATAGAAGGCCATTGTGCATGTTTAGAACCTTGTGTTTGATGGACTCTGACTAGATTCTAACTCTGCTACCTTTTTTTGAACCCTTCAATGCCTTTAACTCTATTAAGGATCTGATTGGTGCTTTTGGAGTCTATATAAAACAAGCCTCTACTGAGGATCCTAAAAATCTTTGGAGTTAGAATTTCTTTTCCATGAAAGGGGTTGGGTAAGTGCAAGTGCAGCAGGATGGGATGCCCCTGCACCCCTATTAGATCTATTCCTTTGCCATCAAAGAATACAAGAAAAGAAAATGGTGATACTCCATTTTCAAAAAACATCCATCCACATGTCAAAACATGAGGTCAAAGAGGAAGTGATGACTTTTTCAGAACATTAAGAGTTCCATATGAGAGTTTAATTAAGTTTCCATTTTAAAATAAAGCGTTGAGTCAGGCAGCCTTAACAATTGGATGCTCTAAGTTGCGTCAATGTAAGCCTGGTGGCTTACGACATACCGATTACATTACCGCAGACGCGCGTAGTTTTTTAAGGCTTTGACGGTGACAGGATAACCTCCCTCCCACCCGCACTGGCTACATCCACAAATTCATACCACAAAATGACACACATTCATATTTGTAGCCTATCTGAGCAAATCTGCACCATACCAACGGGCATTCATCGACTGCCCAACGAAATCCTTGGGGATATATTTTTCAGAGCTATCGAGCCGTTGAATTGGCAGTCAATGGATGGCTTTGGTCATCCAGGGTCAGGGATGGGTTTCGAGCCTCACAGGATTGTGTCGTCACAGCGAAATAACCGGCCCATTGCCACACAATGCAAGCTGAGGGCAATCTGCAAGGGATGGAAACATGTGGTGGAGTCAACTCCACGTATTTGGACGACATTAACATTCGACCGTCGACTTCCATCCAACGGGGACGTTATTGAATCCATTTTCGATCGGTCACAAGCATGCAAACTAAACATTTACCTGGAAGTACAGCACCTGCGAGACTCCCATCATTTATTTTATCTCATCGCGAAGCATTCCTTTCGTATCGAAGCCATGATGATTGTGGGAGCTCATTTTCGGTGGACGGGAATAATTCTTTCGAAATTATTCCCACTTCGAGGTCTAACACAGCTGAAGACTTTCGGTCTTCAACAGTTTCCCACAAGATGGGACAATGATCCAAATGAGCTGGTTTTGGATGCTCCAGGACTTGAGGAGCTTTTTCTTGTTCGCTCGAGACAAAATATTCTCTTCAGTATTCCAATGAATTCCCTGAGACATGTGACTATCTCACTGGATAACCTACACAGGTTGTCGTCCCTTTCCACATGCCCAAACTTAGAGACCGTGAATTTTCCGAAAATCAGGGACCTCGAACCTCCTGTAATTGAAGGCATTATCACTCTATCTACCGTCAGGAATATAAAACTTGGTTCTGATCCCACCATTTTCCAGTGGTTGTGTGACCACCTCCGTCTACCCGCTTTGACCTCTGTCGATATACGGGGTGAAGATACGTCTTCCTCCGATATGGACACCGTTCTTCATCGTTTTGCCGGGTTTCTGGGGTTACACATCCAGTTACCCAAAGTGACATCTTTCCAACTTACGTGCATCAAGTATGCTAGGAACAAGCGAATGAAGGATATCTTCCGGTGTTTACCCCATCTCTATACATTGCGATTTCGCTCATGTCCGTTTATCGGAAACATCCTGGGGATCTTGGCCCCGGATTCGGAATCTGGTATAGTCATGTGTCGCCACCTAGCTATTGTCATATTACAGGATCTGAAGTACAATACGCATGACTTCCGTCAATTATGCATCGCTCGCGCGGCAGCGGAGACCGTCACCCAACTCCAGATCCAAATCATCGACTCTGTCGAAGTTGTAGACGCAATCACGAGGGACGTTCGCGACTCTCGAGGAAATCCTATCATTTATGGAGGTTCGAGTCTCGCTTCATAACTTTCCATGGATTCACAAAGTGCTCCGTTTTCCATATTGATGTGCTAGAGTTTCTTAACAAATCAGTCTATCCACACAATAATACATATAAATGGAAGTCTCATATTTGGAATTATGCGCAATTAAGACGTAAAAATAATTATTTAAATCAATGGTTACTCTTGTGAATATTGGGTCAAAGCACCCTCTTGAACTGTCAGCCATGCATCGATTCATTGGGTTACTAGTTTGAATCATGTGACTTTGGGGTGCAAGGCTGTTTCTCACTTTGAATGTCTTTCGTTTCTCTTGACCGCCAGCACCTCTATCCTTGTTTTATTATGTACGGCTATCGAGACAAAGTATAAATCTCTCGTCGTTTCTCCGACCAATTCGCTCTCGATGGAATTTATTATCGAGATCAAGGTGTTTATGGATGGTCTCTATTGATACCACCCTCTAGCGAATCTTCAATCATATTTCACGCGCCATTCCCTCTCTTCGTGTATGGTCAAAGATGAGAGCGTATAATATCATTTTAGCATCTGTTCAATTTCTTTGCTTCACAATTTCGGAAGAAAGATTGTCGTTCCGGTGGCTGACTGTGGTCGTGCCCGCCACTCTCGACAATTTTCATCTATATGAGGCTATTAACAGTTGATGAACCAAAGCTCTTTTCTACCGGAACGTGTCAGAAAATGGATAATATACGTCCTGATCTTTGTCCAAGCCGAGGTGATCGCAGAAAGTAAAGGCCAGGTCAGCCGGTAGGCCATTGGTTATCTCTTTAGTGTACTCAGACTAACGCATGGGCAAGTATATCCGCACCACAGGAGTCGAATTCAACTCCGTAGAACGAATTTCTCAATACTTAGGACTGGAAGAAATGCGCCTGTATCATATCTTCCAATCTACCAGCACCATAGCATGCTGGCTATACTGACCTTCAAGTTCAGATAGACTCTCCATTGAATAACTCATTTCAAGTACATTATACACATGTTTAGCTATATAATGTGTTTTCTTCAGACTTGTCACTATTTCTTCTCCCCTGGTACCAGCCTGCCAATATGAAAATCCCAAACATTGAAAAGGTTTTGTGAGTCACTATACATTGGAGATCTAAGAAATAATTAAAAGAGGTTCTAAATGATATATTCTGAAGAAAGACAGGATTCAGATATAAAGTGAGAACAATAAGTGATTAATGTAGTCCCAGTGGCACAATCAACAAAGGTAAGTGATATGTGTCTTGTAACACAACTGCAGTTGTGAGAGGTACTGTGAAATATACTCTGAAATATAGTCCAGACCAGCCCACACTATATTTCCATTATTATTTCTATTTTTCTCTCTATCTTATTATACGCATATATTTAGTTCAACGACCTATGCATTCAGTACATAGACTCTTGTGGGCACATATGCACCAGACCTATGTATGTATTCTAGCACCTATATGTAGTTAGAACTCAGACACTTTTTACCCTGTAACCATGACTTGCCCAGACACCCACTTAGTGTCCTGCAAGTTGTGATTGGGGTATTGTCTCGACTGTCACAGACGGGCCTTAACTATCAGCACAATCACCATTTCGAACTATACTAGTCGAAACTCGAACCGTTATCTCAATCCGCATGGACTACATCCACACTACTCTGTTTTGTTCAACTCTCTTGTTATTTCCTTAATCACTAGAGCAGTTGCTCAGAATCGTACTTCAAAGTTGATTCTCTTTCTGCCATCTTAGCCTATCTATTCTACTTCAGATAGCTAATCCTTTCAGCCATATTGAACTAGATAGTCAATACATTGTCGTGTCGTACCTAAACGGTCAATATTCTTTGTATATAGAATGGTTAGAACTTCCACTACTCTTCACAGCAGTATAGGGAGCTATTTTTAGGTACCATGTTCAAATCCTATCCTGAAAATCTCAGGAAATAACCAGGAACTCAATTACTTCCAGGTAGGGGTCAGGACTTGGCTTCAGCTTACATACATATTGTAAGAATTACATAATAGGGTGAAAAGTATTGACCTGAGCTGGATTTGAACCAGCAATCACTATGTCTGGATAACATTTAGTGCTCTTAACCCCTGAGCTATCAGGCCATTAAGAGTAGTTCTGTTAGGAACCAGTCACCACCGAGATGGTTAGCCATCAGTAAGATATTAGTTTATCCAAGTCAACCATTGCTCATTCAACACTGTCCAAACACTCAGATGTTCTTAATTTCAGAGAGTCTGTTTATGCTGGAGAGGTTATGGATATTCGAAGTTCTGAAGAGCTACAAATTTTGAGTGTATAGAAAGAGAAGAGGAATCAGCTAACTAAGTTGATATCAGATCTGAGGTGTAGGTAAATGTACAAAACTAATATAGCCTTTCTTGTACTTGTACTACAAACTGAGATCACAATAAGATGTATTAGGATAGGCATTTTTAATTGGGAACATAATAAGCAAACAATTGAATACTTTTCAACAGACAAGTTACCAAATATGGAACAAGGATGAAGTTCTGGAGGTGGGAATTATAACAGACAATTGAAATATCTGGGAATAGATCATAACAGCCATGTATATTCACACTGTTGCACATGGGGCAATTGACACAGATTAAATTTTCTTGACAGTTGTCAAATAATAGTTGTAATATGTGTACTACATTGAGCATTGGATGCTTCACTTGACAAAGTGTCAATTCATCCTGATGATGAAATGTGAGGCTATATTAGGACACAATGGCTCATGAATGATTATATATATTGAAAAGATCTCATAAAGGTTCAATGATTAGATAATGCACAGACAGAACAAGTAAACATAGAATTTTGGACTGATTCCCCTTGCTCCTTTTGTTGCCTTTTTATGCCTCTGAATGTTAGTTAATAACCATTATATGACTTCAGAATGAGATTCATGTGTGAAATAATGAATGATATCAATCTAAGACAAGTTGAAAGTTGAGTCAAAACATTGTCAGGAAATCCTTACTGCTCTTGTGACAGTTGTGATAGTATCTCCCCCTTGTGCAAGTTGGGAGTTCAGCATTATGATGAAGGATTTGTAACTTGTATATATTTTGTTGTATATTTTGATTTTATGGCATTTTTGTTGGCAGTTGCACTATATACTATAATATAATGCTGGTGTTTTCTGTAAAAAGACAACTTCATTGGTGAATTGCATTGCATCTGTTACTGGACCAAGAACAGACTGCAAGGGAAGCCTCAACAAAGTTGGAAGAAATCAAAAGGTTGTCAAAGAATCAGATCAGGATAATGATCAAGAAAGTAATGGTCAGCAAATTTGAAAGCTTAGTCAAAGAAAGTCTGCTCATCAAAAGGCCAGCAGTTGAATATTGATTCAGTCAGGAAAATCAATAAGGTCAAAAGGGTTGGAAGCCATTGATCAGTCACTACACAAGCAATCTGAATAAAGTTGATTGCAAAAGGAGATTAAATGATGAAAGATGAATTGTCAAGAGTGAAGACAATGATCCATGACTTGATCAAGGAGGTGAAAATGTGAAGGGAATATTTTATGAATTTGGCAATGAAATAGGTCAAGTATAGTAATGGCAATGAAGTCACTGATATTAGTTTTAATAGTCAAAGTTGGGCTAAAGCATGGGATAAGAAGTTGAGAGAATCAAGAGAGTCTAGGGAGGATGACTGTAGATTCTCAAAATTAAATATTGTTTTCTTTCTTTGAATTTGTTGATTAGTCAAAGGAAATATCAAACTTGAGTTGATTTTTTTAAAGGTTTTGGAAGATGTGGAAGATTTACTGTATATAAATGAGTTCCAGATTAACAAGGTCATAAAGTATGTATTGAGGTATCTAAAAGGTTCCTCAAATTTGGAGATCATATATAAAACGTCATGGTCCTTTCCAGGGTCTGTGAAGTACAGGCAAAGCACCCATACTACAAAGGCAAGATCTGGGGGAGTCCCAATCATGGCATACATGAAGGAATCTACTGCACTCTGGTAACCTTTGCTTCAACTTCCCATGCCATTAACTCTATTAACAATAAATGTGGTTCAATGGGTGTTAAAGCTGGTTTGCAATCTGGCATCCCAAACAGGTGAAGGACATAGTGGTGCTGAGATACTGAGAGTATGCACTTCTTCCAATCTCAAGCTAATTCCATTCTGAGGATCCAACATACCTCTCCAATGTCAGTCATGTCAAAATTCCTTTTTATCTTCATTGCATATTAGAGCTTTTTGGATACAGGTTAGTCATGGCTTTTGTGCATCATAGGTAGGGATATTAATTGTGGGTTTTCTGACATTGTTGAGGACTGCATGGATTTTGAAGAATATGAGATGTTATTTTCCTCTTTATCATGGTCTGACTCATTGTAACTATCATGTAGTTTATCACTCTCTTCATCATCTGAATCTTCAACTTCCATTAGGTCTGGTAAATCACTGTTGTCCTCAATAGATTCAACATGACTGCTCATGCAGTTTCTTTGATATTTGAGCTTGGCACTACATCAACAATGACTCTTTCAAACCTTATGGCCATTTTTTCAGCAAATGTACCATCACAGCTTTGATACATCTGTCCAGTGGTTCAGTCAATAAAACAGTAAGTTTTCTTATTCCTTGTATAACCAATTAAGACAAATTTAATAGTCTTCCCATCCAGTTTCTGTCATTTGTTTTCTAGGATTGATTAGCACATGCTGTGCAGCTGAAAATTCAAAAATGACTAATATCTGGTGAGTTTTCAGACCAGGCTTTATATGGGGTTAAATTTGATATGGCTGATGTTGGGACTACATTACATGTCCAGTATATTCAATAGTATCTGCCCAGTAAAATTTGGGCAACTTGGTATCTTTGAGCATTGGCAGTGAACTTTCTACAAGGGGATAATGCATCCTTTCAAAAACATCAGTTTCTTGTGTTGTGTAAACATTCATTCTTTCATGCTTGATGCCCTTAGAAGCAAGGTATATTTCAAACTCCTTCAAGATTTGAGATGTATTTACCACCACATCTGACCTCAAATTTGTAACTTGCATCCCAGTTTTGGCCTCAACCCTTTCTACAAAGCAGAGAGTTTTTAGATCCTTTGGATTTTTCCTTCAAGAATGCATGGTCAAGTATTTGGCTTGCATCATCAATAAATGTGACGAAATATTTTTATCCAGTCTTTGTCTCCATTTTTTCACAAATGTCTGAATGTATGCATGCAAGAATGGTTGTTTCGTGACTTTCAGTGGACTTCAGATTGGGTGTGTGGGTTTGCTTTCCATGGAGACATGGTTCTCATGGAAAATTATCAATTGTTTTACTGTTTACAATTAACTATCCATTTTTGAACCATTTTGAGGATAATTTTGTTCTAATTATCGCAGATATTCACGAGCATATCATTATTTAATTTTGAGTAACTACTAAATATTCAGATGTTGGACCTCGTTTATTGACAATATTAAATGGATATTCCGACAGCCACCGTTGCTTGCACGCTTAATATACAATGCAATTAGAAGAAGAGGAAGGTAAAAAAACATTAATTATTTATATAGCAGTGCCTGCATGAACCTTGCTCTAGTAAACGGGGAATTAATCCGACCCAAATATACCCCGCTGTCCAAACGCATGTCAGTCATATCGATCCCGGTTTCTCTCAGAAACATCCACAGTTATTGGGTGACAGTAATATACATAAAGCCCGCAATGGTGGGGTCGAGCGGAGACCAGTAAGCAATGAAAACCGGGCGATCTCCCGAAACAAGTGCGATATTTAATTTAGTATGGATACAGAGCCACTGAGAGTGTCTTACTTTCCTACTTAATCAGTCACAGAGCCTCATACCCCACATTTTGAATTTACTGGAGGGAGGACGGTGAAATATGCAAACTGAACACAAGGCTGCCACAGCCATTACCTAAGATGATCGAAATGCTCCTACTTACGTTTTCATGGATCCCATCGCAGACGTGGACTGTTTGCGAGTGAATTACCCGTCAAAGGTTCAGTGGAAGGCCGACGCTACCAAGTTTCACCGAGGCAGTGGCTGTGTGAGTGTTCGGAGTGCCGCTATATCACCGGAGGGGACTCACAAACCTCTTCATCTGTGAAAATGTAACAGCGAAGGAGCCCAACCGAATGGCGGCTGGAGACCCGAAACTTGTACCGACACTTGTGTACAGTGCACGACCCCAGCTCTCTTTGCTGACCACCATGCCCCAAGGTACACTGCCCCACCTCATCCCTCACCCGTCACTCTTAGTTCCCCAGCGATTAATGCCTAAGTCGAACCTTCGAGGGCATCGTTATACTCAATGGAATATCTCAGTATTTGTTGGTGCGTCAAGGTCTGTGCTATGGAGTGCCGTTATTTTTTAGTTGCGCTCGAAAGTGTGTGAATTAGATATTGGGATTTGCGACTGAAAATTTTTTTAAAATGAGGTCGGTGGGATGGGGTTGTTAAAATAATAATTAGCATGACTTTACGGCAATATTCAAGCGGTCAACACTGTGTATGTACGGGAAAAGGGGCTCACCAAAGTCTGTTAATAGACAGAAGTACCCAATGATTCATACAATCTCCGATAAATTGATGGTTCTCATCCTTTTTGCATTCTTCTTATACTTCTTACACAACATGAAGTTCAGTGCACATTGGCTTGGTCGGAACTTGCTGAACGATCCCTGCCTGGCATGTTTGATGTCAGTGCAGCCTTGACTGCTAGTGGGTTTCACGTTTTTCGAAATTTCACGGTACTGAAGTCCTTTATATTTTGTCACAGGATCTTACAGGGGGAATGGTGTGCTGGATGAAGCCTTATGACTCACAATTGTCATCAGAACTAGTATACCCTTGACGATCCATACAAAAGCATCGTTTATTTTGAGTAAGGTAGTTTTCCCTCAAATATTAATTTATGAACTACTAGGATTTCAAAGACGTCCAGGGTCATATCTCTATAGGGTGACGCTACGCATCACATTCCCATCGGGAGTGGGAGATATCCGTCATCGTTGAACGCACTCCATGGCTGTGTGCATTGCGCTGCACATGTAAGACCAATTCGGTGACGTCTGCAGCCAAGTTGATATTACGCAGCATAAACGATTACG